GAATGCAGCTGTCGAAGTGGTGCTGAGCATCAAGGAGCTGTACACTGAGACCAGGACATTCCTGGAAGGGAAGGCGGTGAGTGGGCAGCCAGAAAGCACCCCAAGCCTGGCAGCAGGGGCTCATGCCCCCAGCCAGCATCTCGGGGTTGGCAGCAGGGCTAGGAACATCCCTGTCCCCACAGCCAGAGGCACTGCAGGAGGAGGAGGAAGCATTGCACGGCCTCCTGAGCACCCTGGGACAGGAGCTGCAGAAGCTGCTGGACATCCACTGGCTGGGGCCCCTCTCCCACCCTGCTGAGGAGGTGGGTGGACAGGGAGCAGGGGGCATAGCCTGTGGGGTGGCCCCGGGGGGGATGTAACACCCCACTCAGCCTGGCTTCTTGCAGGAAAGTGCTGGTGGCACCAAGGGCAGCTTCAAACTTCGCCTCAACATCCCCAAGCCCAAGAAGGACAAGGACAAGGTGCAGAAGCAGAAAACCAACAGCACTCTCCCAGGTAACAGGTGGGTGGACAGGGAGCAGGGGGCATAGCCTGTGGGGTGGCCCCGGGGGGGATGTAACACCCCACTCAGCCTGGCTTCTTGCAGGAAAGTGCTGGTGGCACCAAGGGCAGCTTCAAACTTCGCCTCAACATCCCCAAGCCCAAGAAGGACAAGGACAAGGTGCAGAAGCAGAAAACCAACAGCACTCTCCCAGGTAACACCAGGGAGGGAGACAGGGACAGCCCACACCAGCAGGAAGCTCCTGGCCATGCTGTGGAGGGACCCTCTGTGAGGGGGACAGGGCATGTCCTGGCTGCCAGGGGATGTCACCTTGGTTACAACAGCTCCCTAGAGCTTAGTTTTTCTGCTGCTAAGGGCCATGCAGAGCCCCCTGACCCTGTAACTCCACCACCACTGCAAGGGGGACAAGAGGGCTGTGGTACAGCTCAGCCCTTTGGGTAAGTGCCTGCCCTGGGGCACAGGGTCTGGGTGTAGGGGAGAAGCTTGGTTGCTCTGTAAGTGCAGGAGGAGAGGAGAAACCTCTGCAGCCTGAGCCTGCTGTGGCCTCTGGCCCTGCTGGAGCTGGGGGCAAGAGGGGGGGATGCTGGCTGCAGCCTGCCACCATTGCTGCCCGTGGCTGCCTGCTCTGGACTGCCCCGCCCCCCCTC